TATGAGTGGATTGCCCATTAGCACAATGCCACTAGCGTTAGCAGAACGGAAATTCCCGATGAGTGAACCGTTGTAACGCCCCTGTGATGCGGCGGCCGCTTGGCTAACATACTCCTCTTAAACCGGTGTTGGACTGTCTACGCTACCCTTGCATATCCAGGGGCGTAACTGGTCCCCCTTTTAGGGGTGTGCACGACCGCAAATCATGTGTAGGATGGCTGGTGCATGTCATTCACGATCACGATGTGCATGTTGTATACAGTTCGAGGTTTTTTTGTGGGGGGGGGGGGGGGGAGGGGGAGAGGGAGTGCAGGCAGACCTGTGGACCCCATACTTTTCATTTGGGCTACACGCGAGCTGGGTTTAGTATTGTGATTAGCACAAGATAGACACAGACCATCGTGGTGCAAAAAGTCTCTGCAAACGGTCCAAGGGTCTGCGGAGCTTGCCGGGGCCTTTGAAAGCTCAATGCATCACCATTCCCAAGCCTTGCTTACAAACACAAGAGGAAGAGTCTTACGTTTGAAGCCAAGTTTGTAGAGGAATCTGACGTTAGAAAAACGTGTTGAAGACGGATCCAGCAGTTCTTTGCGAATAAATTTCCGAAACGAGTCAAAGTGGTCTGAGGGATCCGAAACACAGGCGACGACTAGGCCGTCATCTTCCTGCTTCATCTCGGTAATGTCAAGGTAGTCGTACAAGAAGCGATGCGGTCGTACGATGAAGCGGCCTGGATCGCCCAGACGGAGCCACTTTTGGGTGGCGTTGTTGAACCAGGCGTTTGTCCCAACTCCATCGTGGCGGCAATACATAGGAAACGTGCCATTCTCTCCCAGGGCAAGCTTGTATTCTTGCACTGAATGGTGCAAGGCAAACAAAACACACACATACACACACACACACACACACACACACACACACACAAACACACACACACACACACACACACACACACACATCATTTGACCATTTGATGCCCATCGCCGGAGGCGATGATAGCGATGCTATGGCAGAAGCCATAGCAGCTTGTGCTGGGATTGCACCGTTCAACAGCTTGCAAGGCTGAAGAATTGACCGCCACTATTCAGCCTGGTCTACACCACACAGCTATGAAGTCGCTTTTTCTGGCCAGTGAATCCCTACTTTTTGGTCTTTTTCATTTTTTCCCGCACACACACACACATCACACCACATACTCCGGCATGCACTGGCTGTTGGTAACCACCCAGGAGAATGAAAGAAAAGTCAGGCGGAGTCTGAGAAAGAGAAGAAAGACGTGCGTGACCATACTCGTCGGGAATCGAACCCGCAACCTCTCGATTTGAAATCGCTGCACGTACCACTGCATCATATGGGACACACACACACACACACACATACACACACACACGCACACGCACACACGCACATGTGCACGGACACAAGCATGCACACAAACACATGGACACACTTGTATATGTACTTGTACTTGCTCACTGCCACGACTGGTCACACGAATCTCCCCAGAAGAGGGGAGAGAGATTCAAAAGGAATTTCGGAAAATGCCCCAACGTCCGACACCCCCTGAAATCATCACAACTCTGGGCGGATCTGGAAATGATTCCGCTTGTGGGCTCATCACACCTCAGTAAGTGGGCAAGGACAAGGTGCAGAAAATGGATTGACGGCATCAGGGTATCCGTACCGGGATCGAACTACAGTTACCCCTGCCCCCAGTGAAGGTAATACTTGCTACTCGTGTGGGTGGCTAAATCAGAGTGGATCTGATCTAAGCGTCACTAGTACCATTGATTACACAAGAGTTAATCTAGCCAGAAGTAGTCCATCGGTCAACAGGCATGTACACTCAAATAGAAAGTATATGAACCCTGAAACCAATACAGGTGGCAGGTACAACAATACACCTTCAAGCAGCCGAGTCTGTTGGCAACAGACCAAACACTATCTGGCTAAAGTGTACCCACCAGCCAAACTAGCTAGCACACACACACACGCCCAGGAGCGTGCACACAGACACACATGCACAAACATCTGGCCTACTGCTAACTCCAGCTTCTGGAAACGCTCTAGCGAAACAGATATGGATCTACTGACCGATCTGCGGGCGGATTACCTACTAACACTTGACGTGGGTCCGATATCTGACGCGCTATACTCACCTCATTGTCCGTCACCAGCACCGGATCAGCACAGGATCAGCTCCCTCAGAACCGGACGGAGAACCTAAATACAGTTCGACGCTGAACGAAGACACGCTGAACGAAGAGACGCTGAACGAAGACACGCTGAACGAAGACACGCTGAACGAAGACATGCTGAACGAAGACACGCTGAACGAAGACACGCTGAACGAAGACACGCTGAACGAAGACACGCTGAACGAAGACACGCTGAACATAGACACGCTGAACGAAGACACGCTGAACGAAGACACGCTGAACGAAGACACGCTGAACGAAGACACGCTGAACGAAGACACGCTGAACGAAGACACGCTGAACGAAGACACGCTGAACGAAGACACGCTGAACGAAGACACGCTGAACGAAGACACGCTGAACGAAAACACGGACTGAAAACTACTAGCTCAAAGCGTGCGGTCAGTAGATCCATAATTATCTTGTTCTCTACAAGTTCCGCTATACTGTCCACTGACACCACCAGTTACTAAACAATCAGCTCATGCGATAACATTACACGACACTGACCGACGGTACTGACGTTCTACAACTAACTGGCTAACAGCTCTAGCACATCTTGGATGCGCACTCCAACAGCCTTCCAACTTGGAAGGTTCTAAGTTATAGAAATAACATAAGGACAGCTGAGACTTTCAGCTCGTGCTTATCTTGGTTGCGCTCACCTTCCCCTCCTTATGTTATTTCTATAAAATTCTACAATTAACTGGCTAACAGCTCTAGCACATCTTGGATGTGCACTCCAACAGCCCTCCAACAGCCTTCCAATTTGGAAGGTTCTAAGTTATAGAAATAACATAAGGAAATAACATAAGGACAGCTGAGACTTTCAGCTCGTGCTTATCTTGGTTGCGCTCACCTTCCCCTCCTTATGTTATTTCTATAACTTAGAACCATCCAAGTTGGAAGGCTGTTGGAGTGCGCATCCAAGATGTGCTAGAGCTGTTAGCCAGTTAGTTGTAGAACGTCAGTATCGTCGGTCAGTGTCGTGCAATGTTACGGTCGCATGAGCTGATTGTTTAGTAACTGGTGGTGTTAGTGGACAGTATAGCGGAACTTGTAGTTTCTTGGTCTTTCTCTTTTGTATAAATTAAACCTTGGCTCTCCATCTGAATAATAATAATAATAATACGAAGTAGTGGTTGCGACTTCGGCGATGATTTGTAAGAAAGGGTTTGCTCCCTACACCGGAGCTCGCGCTATTCCGCCGCTATTCCGCCGACTTTACTTGACACTTGACGGACTCACGACTGCCAACCAGAGAGTCAAAGGTTCGATGGACTTCTCGTGTGCTCTGGTTGGCAGTCGTGAGTCAGTCAAGTGTCAAGTAAAGTCGGCGGAATAGCGCAAGCTCCGGTGTGGGGAGCAAACCCTTTCTTACAAATCATCGCCGAAGTCGCAACCACTACTTCGTACTGTTGTGCCCAGCGCGGGCTTGCGACTAGTTGGTTTGGAGGTGACAGCGTTGCGAATGACCGAGGGTCCTCGACGTCTGTCTCACCGTCCAGGAGCGACACTGACTCACGCTGCTATCTGGTGTTCACGAGGTGTTTGTGGTGCTTGAAACGGAGCGTCTCTGTAAGTTTGTATCCCTGGTGATGTTTGTGCCTGGAGAGCACTATATAAGTGGTGCTCTTCAGGCACAATCCTCCTCAGCCTACTCAAGCTCAACTGATGAGGGGTGAATTCCCCGAAACACTGTGTATTGAGCAGGGAGTGGTGCTTTCTTGCAGGTTTGCCGAGTCAAAGGTTCGATGGACTTCTCGTGTGCTCTGGTTGGCAGTCGTGAGTCAGTCAAGTGTCAAGTGAAGTCGGCGGAATAGCGCGAGCTCCGGTGTGGGGAGCAAGCCCTTTCTTAATAATAATAATAATAATAATAATAGTAGAAAGGAAAAGGACATTTGGAAACGAGTTATGAGTAACTATCCACCACTGTAACTAGATACTATATGCAGTCAGAAAGTGCAACAACTAGGCACAAAACTGACAGAGTACTGAGACATTCGACGTCCTGACACCTAGCTTCAACACATCTCCGTAGCGCTAACCGACAGCCTTCCAACTTGGAAGGTTCAAGGTTATGGAAAGACCAAAGAGGGGAAGGCAAGCGCAACGAAAACGAGCACAAGCTACAGTCCCAACGGAACAAAGAATGTCGATTGTTACAGGACGATGACGAGACCAGTAGGTGATCTGACAAAGCGGTCTAACTACAATTCAAAGCAGCAAAGCAGCACACCACCCAACTTGGGTGGGTCAAAAATATCAAAGATAAGTTAAGAAGGGGGAAGCTTTGCGAGAACGAATTGTACAAGCCGAAATCAAAACTCCTACAGTACTCCTCATGCATGACATTGTGATGGACTAGTTGACTACAAAACAAGTTGTTTCACACTACGTACGTTTCGCCGTATGGTTCGTGACGGCTCATCAGGTGTGCAATTTGAAACTCGGGTATTGAGCCAATAATAAAAGTAGAAAGGAAAAGGACATTTGGAAACGATTTATGAGTAACTATCCACCACTGTAACTAGATGCTATATACAGTCAGAAAGTGCAACAACTAGGCACAAAACTGACAGAGTACTGAGACATTCGACGTCCTGACACCTAGCTTCAACACATCTCCGTAGCGCTAACCGACAGCCTTCCAACTTGGAAGGTTCAAGGTTATGGAAAGACCAAAGAGGGGAAGGCAAGCGCAACGAAAACGAGCACAAGCTTCCACGTCAAAAAACCCGCAGCGGTCATAGCTGTCTATGTTATAGGGGTGGCCAGCAGAAACTTGCGCTGGTGAGGGCATTATGATACCAGCTCACTTCTCTTGGTTAGGGAGGCAGCTTTTGAAGCTTTCAGGATGTGGAACTTTTCGGTGAGGCATAGTCCACATTTCTTGCTGATGTTACTGTATGAAGGTGCTCCCACCTTGATCTCCCATCTGATGTCGAATCCGCGGTTCTCGTTTTTCAGATCCCAGATGTGCTTGGACAACTTAGTCGATGCGGCGTACCTTTCATGGCGGAAGTCAGAAGTGTGTTTGTTGTAGCGCTGCTTGAATGTGGTGGCTGTCATGCCGACGTAGGTCTTAACTTCGTTGGATGCTACATGCGCCTCGTACACGACGTCGGAAGATTGGCAGTCACCGTTGAGGGGGCACGATGGCACAACTGGCGGTCGCGAGTGAAGTTTTCCAGCATTGTGCCCTTTGATAATCGACGCTGCGTTCTTCATACAGCTGTAACTTACTTTTGTTGTGTTCTTGTTAAACACCTTGTGTAGCGCCGACCCTTCAGGAAAGTGTTTCTTGACAAGGTATAGAAACTTTGTGCCAACGTTGGTTTTGACCGTGGTACTGTACGGCGGGTTAAACCGGACGACATCGCGGCTGCGCCCTTTCTTCGCTTTTTTCTTCTTGTTGCTCAGTTCATCCGTGTATGTTATGGTTTTTGGGTGGCCACTTGAGGCCAGTGCGTCCTCGTATAACGTTTTAGCATCGTTGAACACTTCCTCATTGCATGAGATACGTTGCAGTCTCTTGTTGATGCCAATGTGTATTTGTCTTAGCACCTGCGGTGGGTGGCAAGACCGCACATCGACGTACAGGGCGTACTATTTGGTTTCCTGTATGGTTGGAAAGTTCTGGTGGCGAGACTCAGGGTAGTATGCACACGGCTTAAAAATAACAATCGAAACCAACAAAAAGGTCGTCGACTACTTGCATGAGCCGTCCACTCCTGGGCGTCAGCCCTTGAAAGAGTTGTCTGAACAACCGCTATGATGGCGCTATCATGACGCTTGGAAGAAGTCGCTGTAAACAAATCTCCAATTTTCGTTTGGTGAGATCGCTTCACACCTGCACCTGACACACTGGCAGAACTTAGAAATTGGTGGCGAAGAATAACAAGAAAATAGAAACAAACTGAAAGCTTTGGAAACAAAAAGGCTGTGACTTTCCGACTTCGATTTCGACTCCGGTTTCGCTAGTGCAAAAAGTGGGCGTGAGTCCGCACTGCACCGGTGCTGTGCAGCACTGTTGCAGTGTGTGTTCACACAGCGAACGCGAACAGCTGTTATCTAAACCTTCCCAGGCACTCAGTCATGCACCCCGTGCACACCGTCACACAAAAGATCACAGCCTTTTCAGATAAGGAACAAATTATGCATGGTTGAAAGGAGAGAGAAAATGAGAGAGACGCGAGAGAGAACTGGCTGCGCCAAGAAGAGCGAATGCAAAACCGCTGTCCCTGGCAAAACGTGCGCGTACAAGTGCAGCACAAACGAGACCAGCGTACTACACGCAACAAATAAGGGTAGCGGGACGCAACCTAAAACGATACCAGTCTTCCCAGAAAGGTGCGCTGCTGCGCACAGCCCGCGTATCCATGGAAAACATGGTGCAAAACAAATGCAGAAATGCAGAAGCAAAATAAATAAATAAATCAGAAATTCGAACGACAAACAGTAGTGAGCAGGACGAAGACAGAAAGATCAAAGATGAGGAAAGAAAAGTGTTTGATCTGTCAGTGGGTGCTTGCACCCGATACGGGGTGACAGTAAACCCTGTCAGATAGTGACACATCGTAGAGTTATTCTGCAGAGGGACTTCACTGAGCAAGAATATAACAAACCACGTAAGTAACTCCAGCAAATCGTGAATAATAATTGTAAATGCATACACAATGTTATCATAAGTATTCGAACACCATAGTTCCCTTTCACCCCTCCACCTGATAACATTGGATGGGGCATACATGTAATGACATACAGCAGGGAAAACAGATGCCTAGCGATAGCGAGCAGGGGGCTGCAGAGAACCACGGGGACGTAATGAATGACCACCAACCAGATGATCAGATGGGGGGGAAATGTCCAAGCAAACCCAACCATCATCATCACCATCATCACGAGGACCATCAACGCGAACATCGCCAACATCAGGCGGGGGCACTAGAGGAACACACGGCACATCAGGAACAACCAAACCAACATCACGCTTCAAGAGCTCGACATTGACCACCTTTTCCTGACGACGACCTGACTCAGGATGCACACGGCAAATCACAACACTGGCAGGACCAATAACATGTTTAACTGACCAACCAGAATCGAACGGGGGCTGACGTTTCTGGCGACGATCAGGGTTACGCAATAGAACACGATCACCAACAACATACGGACAAGAAGGCGACTCAACAACAGGCGCAGGGGCGTGCTCTGCAACAACCGCCGTCAAATAGTCGTGAACCCGAGCAGCCTTATCACACACACCATCAACCCAAAGAGAGGACGAAAGAGTAGATGGTATACCGTCCACAAATAGAGCACGAGGCTCCCAGCCAAACATAGCACGCATGGGAGAAATCTTCAATTCACTATGCGGACGAGTACGGTAGAAGAAGAGGAGAATCTCTAGCTCGGCTAGCCAATCGGCAGCAGTATCCAACACCTTGCGAATAAGAGTGAGAATAGTACGATTGAATCTCTCGGCGCCACCCTGTGACTGAGGGTGACGGACCGCACCAGTACGAACGCAAACACCAAACACATCCAACAAAGAAGACACAATAGCATTGCGGAACTCATGACCATTGTCGCAACGCACCACACGCGGCGGACCAAACTTCAAACAGAGACGCAGAAATTCCTCTGCAACAGAGCGACCATCATGACGCCGCAAGGGTACCACCTCGACCCAACGGGAAAACATATCGACAACCACTAACACACAATGGTACTGACCGGTCTGGTTGACACCGAGCTCCAGTGTATCGATCTGGACAATGTCCCACGGCTTGACAGGAACGTCATTCTGAACAGCAGGAGCTGGTGGACCACTGCGGGGATTGGCAGCCTGGCAGGCCTGACAATTACGCACATAGGCCTGGCATAGCGAAGACATACCTGGAAAGAAACAAGACTGACACAGAGAACGCCACATAGTTTCCCAATTGCCATGACCTGTATTGGCATGAGCAGCAGTAATCAAAGCGGGAACGGTGGATTGCGGTGCAACAGGAACCAGTACCTCACCGTCGACGGGGTCACGCCAAGTGCGACACAATAGACCATCAATAACACACAACTGCTTACGAAACTTGCAGAACGACGGATCAGAAACAGAGACGTCACGAGACAAATCGCGAATAACGCTCTGGATAGCATCATCAGTAGCTTGACCAGACTTCAACACGTCAAACTCCAATGGATGTGAAAGTGTAGAAGAGGGGGCAGAAGCAGCGACATCAGCAGAAGAACACAACTTCTTAGCATGAGCAACCCACGGCTGCGGAACACGAGTCAGTACATCAGCATGATTCTCAGAACTTGGCACCCATTCCACTGTGACCGAAATACCGGATGCCTCAATCAAATCTGTAAAGATCTGCAGACGACGTTGAACCAAGACATGTTGCAAACCACTAACTCGCACCCGTTCAGTATTGCGCAACACAGCCTGGAGCCAACCAAAGACAGTCTTAGAGTCTGTCTTGAGCACAACAGAAGAGACATTCCAATCAATAGCCAGCTCGAGGCCTTTCAAGGCAGCATTCAACTCAGCAAGATTGATATGACGCCGGTCGTCCTTTTGCCGGAGCCAAGAACGATCTTCCAGGACAGAACCATCACACTCCAAAACAACACCAATAGCAACATCAGAGGCATCGCAATGAACAACAAAACCAGAACCAGTAGAGGAAGAATGCCACGTACCATGAGCAGGATCCTCTCGCACACAGCGATCGGACAGTTCCTGGAGGAACCGCTGTACTTCAGGAGAGACAGGCTTATCCCATGCGGACTGGCCAGACACGAGGCGCTTCAAGAAGCTGCAGGCCGGACGAAGCCAACAGCAGACGGGATAATGGCTGAGCGCCCGACCGCACCAACTGAAGAGTTCCCGCTTCGTAGTCGTGGGTGGAACAGACAGATCAACACCCTGACGACGGGTCCACAAGACTTCACCCGTGGCGCTAGAATGGAGCTGCAAGCCCAGAACACGGGCATCAGGCAATGGCTCTGCAGGCTTGGTCTCAAAACCAAACGCAGCAAGCTGAGAGGACACTTCGGCAGCACGGTCACGCGGCACGTGGATATCATCCACGTAGTTGTCGGCATCGACCACGTCACGCAAGACCCACTTCACTATGATGTCTAGGAACTTGGGGGCAATGGATAGACCGAACGCCATCCGTTCCATCACGTAACGCTGGCCGTCGACGAGGACAACCTGGTATGGCAGCAATGATGGTGCGACATGGACCTGTAAGTAGGCCTTGCGAATGTCCAGGAGAACGTACTCAGATGCAGGTCCAGCCTGCCGCCACTTCCGTAATTTCTCACCACAGGCAGGTGCTTCTGAGCCAGGATGTGAGATGATGCAGGCATTCAGCCTGCGATAGTCCAAGCAAGGGCGAACTGGAGTGGACGACTTGTGCTCCTGGACTTGAGCAAGGAAAGGCAGCACACACTTGGGCTGGCCATGTTGGTCCACATCATACGGCTGCAGCCAGCCGTTGTCAATCCAAGTCCGGACCTCCTGCTGGAACAGGGTCTCCTGCTCATCAGTCAGTTTCGAGCGAGAGTACTCGCCTATGCCACAGCCAACGGGCGACTGAGGCTCGCTCCCACTTTGCCATTTCCAGGTCAGCTCCCATCTCTTACGAGCAGCGTCCCAGCACACTTGGCCATCATCCGTTGCTAGGGTGACATTACCCTCGTCATCTCTGGTAACTGTCACATGCCCATATGGATGGTCATGGGTCGACCTCTCGGGTGGAGCTGCAACTGGGTCAATGGTCTGCGGTTTCGTGCCAAACGTCACACCAGTGAGCACGCCATGATCATACTGGACGTCAACACCGCCCAGTGCGGAAATCAGTTCCAGGCCAATGACCAGATCTGAGCCAACGGCATGCAAATCAGGGACGACGAGAAACCGACTCGTAGTGCATGGCAGATAAACAGCATCATCGAGTCTGGACACCTGTAGCGAAACTTCACCCTGGATAGGCACACTGTTGCCGTCAATAGCCGAAATTGCCAGTTCGGACGGACGAACATCCACATTCAGGGCCTCCACCAGCTGCCGGCTCACCAGGTTGCGGCTGGCGCCGGTGTCCACGACTGCCTTAGGGCGAGCAGACTGTTCTCCCACAGCAATATCCACATGGAGACGCGGCAAAGAGCATGCATTCGCATCAGGCACACAGAGGCATGGATCAGGCGTGCGCTCAGGTGCTGCGGCCTGCACTTCAGACTCCTTTGCACGCCAGGACGTGTCAGACTGCTGGCGGGACTGGCGCCACTTCTTGTACTCCGGACAGTTTGGCTTCACGTGACCTGTCTCATCGCAGAAGAAACAGGTCAAAGCTGGCCGCCCACCACCATTGCCATGACTTCTGCTGCTGCCAGAACTCCGGTTTGCGGGACAATTGCGGGAAATATGTCCAGCCTGATTACAACGAAAACATAAAACATTCCGGCTGCGTTGGGAGCTAGCAGCCGCAGCGCCAACCGGCTCTTTCGGACGAGATGTACCCTCCGCGCTCCGCAAGCGACGGACATACTCAATACAGTCAGATACAGACTCCATGGAACAATTTATTCGCAACTGGCGTTGAAACTCCCAGGGCAAACCAGCAACGAACTGCTCGATGACTACACGGTCTTTGCCGTCACTCGCGACTTTCTGGCCAGCACCAACTAGCAGTTTCTTCAAGTCTGCAGCGTACCCCTCGACGCTCTCATCGGTCCGCAACGTGCGGGCACGAAATTTCTGGAAAGACGCAGCAGGCGTCGTACTGAATGCACTTTTCAAAGTTGCTTTCACCGCATCCGGGTCAGCTTTGTCGGTTGACGAAAGCTCGTCCCACACCAGGTAGGCCTCGTTCTCCAGAAACAACGGTAAATTGTTCATCTTGTCTGTGCTCGAACTCCACTGCTGGAGGTTCGCTAATACTAAAAACTTAGACCAGAAGGCCTCGAAATCATCGCCACTACCACGATAGGGTTTCACAAACGCCTCGATACGCCTGGACATTCTCACAGGGTTTCGGTACCACTTTGTTATCTAAACCTTCCCAGGCACTCAGTCATGCACCCCGTGCACACCGTCACACAAAAGATCACAGCCTTTTCAGATAAGGAACAAATTATGCATGGTTGAAAGGAGAGAGAAAATGAGAGAGACGCGAGAGAGAACTGGCTGCGCCAAGAAGAGCGAATGCAAAACCGCTGTCCCTGGCAAAACGTGCGCGTACAAGTGCAGCACAAACGAGACCAGCGTACTACACGCAACAAATAAGGGTAGCGGGACGCAACCTAAAACGATACCAGTCTTCCCAGAAAGGTGCGCTGCTGCGCACAGCCCGCGTATCCATGGAAAACATGGTGCAAAACAAATGCAGAAATGCAGAAGCAAAATAAATAAATAAATCAGAAATTCGAACGACAAACAGTAGTGAGCAGGACGAAGACAGAAAGATCAAAGATGAGGAAAGAAAAGTGTTTGATCTGTCAGTGGGTGCTTGCACCCGATACGGGGTGACAGTAAACCCTGTCAGATAGTGACACATCGTAGAGTTATTCTGCAGAGGGACTTCACTGAGCAAGAATATAACAAACCACGTAAGTAACTCCAGCAAATCGTGAATAATAATTGTAAATGCATACACAATGTTATCATAAGTATTCGAACACCATAGTTCCCTTTCACAGCGCGTCAAACAACTACATGCGCAAGCCTACGCGCAAGCTTCACAAATGTACATAGACTAGATTGTTTTTTTTTGTTTTTTTTAAAGAGAACACAAACCTACAAATCATGTTGAAAGACAAAATGTACATTGGACTGGGTAGGCGCTATCCACAATGCCAGTTAATAGCTGTGCTGGTGAAATACATGGACTCTGCCAATCATGGGTCTCGGCGTCACAGTGCCACGTATGCATCAAAGATGTCCTAGGCTATAGCCTACTCGAGGCTACATGTAAACCCATGCGAGCTCTTCTTCAGTGAACAGTAGACTCCACGCGTGCAGTCAGCGCCTGTAGTAGACTTGTGCACGAGCTGGTAGTAGTGCACTGTCGACATCGTTCTGGCCAACCACGTATGGATACCAGACTGCAAAGTATCCACTCTGACTACGCGCCTGCGCCTGCTACGGAAAGCGATCCTATCGGGACTTACTGACGGTATGGTTTCCTTGTTTCATCCATCTCACTCGCATCGGTACTTTTCGTACTGCACGGACTGCACTTGTATGATACATATGACACAAACATCACAATCGCACGGTGTCGGCTTGAGTTTGTCTTGGATTCTTCATGGTCCAGCAACGCGGCATCGCCGAGTCGGAGAAAGGAAGCAATGAATGTACATGAACATTGTTCCACAACAAAGACACAGGGCAAAGCGTTGCAGCAGGCAGATCATTCTGATCACATCGGCGCACCAAATAAACTCGAAGGCAGTCCAAGGACTTTCCGACACTGCGCGATCGCGCGAGCTGCTCACGCCTGGCCGTCGGTGCAGTCTTCAAAATGTTCCTTGGCAGCCATGTCTTCTCTGATTTCGATGATCGAGGGCTCATTTTCTTTATTAGAATCTCCTCCGTAAATCTACCGAATCAATTGTTTCCTCAACGACATAGATTTCAAAATTTTGAAGGACGCTTCACGCAGCTTCATTATACTTGAATCATTTGCAGGCAACTTGCCGGCATTGAATACAGCTGTTATTTGCTGCGAGTGGCGCGGGGCTCTACACAACTCACTGGTGGTGTGAGACTGGAACTGTGCTTGTATCACTGCTGCATAGTAGCGCAGTATCTACTTTCCTCGCCGTTTGTGCTTGTGTTGTCATGTACATGTAGCAATGCACACCCGCCATGACGTGCTTTGAACTTCTCTACGCGCGCTATCACTATGTACCGCGCTTTGCTTGCTTGCCTCCTTCTTTTATACTGCTGTTCTTTCCATGTCCACTTCATTCCTGATGATGGTCATAAAGACCGAAACGTTGTAACGATACCTCTAATGGATTTGTGTGAAATGCATTTCTCTCTTGAGTGTAGGCAGGTTGCCTGCAAACGACATAGATTTACTGTCAGAATACTGGAAAGCAGGGCGACAACGCTCAGAAAAAACCATACACACGGTTTTCCCTTCTACTTGACCGCATTCAAAATTTCTTTCGATAGATGTCCGCGTACTTGGCCGTCAAAGCAGCCTTGCGATTTTCGACGCCGTAGCTAGATAAACGGCTGCCAAGGAACCCTTCACAAATCGCCCAACTATTGCAATATTTTGAATTTTCCGTAACTCTGATTGGCTGCACGACCCTGCCTCGCACGTGCTGCGTGCGTGATGAATCAAAACTGGCTGCGATGTCCAAGTACTAGCCCACAAGCGCGACCCCTGAATTTAATTTTTTTTTCCACACGTATAGCGCGAGGTTCTCGATCTATACTTTTGCTGTAGCTCTATAAATTGCTGTATTTTGACATTTTTCAATTATTCCCTGTACTTACCCATGATCAGAAGGGAACGAAAACGTTCGGTTACCAAATTGGCTTACTTGCCTGTGTGGATTGCGTCGGTGCTGACACCTATTCTTTCGAAGTTGGATCTGCCTCCAATTTTTTACTTACAATAATAATAATAATAATAATACACCTAGCTGGTGTCTTCCCCAACCTGTTAGACAGGAGCAGAGTCGACGCATCTGTCAACAGTGTCTTGTGCATAGCTACGGGAATAAATAATTAACAGCAGCGACACATCGCATGCACCAGCTAAGGAACCATCCGGGGTTACCGATTGTTTTTACAAAACGAAAAGTTTTAGTATTTTTCAGGCCCCACCCACCCACCCACCTTTTTCTGCAGGTAAAACGAATTCCAATAAAATATTGATGTCAATTTTGGACACCCAAAAGTAACTGGGAATTCTCCATCTGCAACCAATAATTATTTTCAAAACGAAACTCCATCAAACCCACCCACCCCCCACACGAAATCTTTTCGTTTTGAAAATATTATTGGTAACCTTGGACGGCCCCTAAGCCAATGCAGATTCCTACCTTTATTGATTATGATGACTTCAATATCGACAGCTTCGTACACTGAACAGAGTATTCGACTTCCGTTCTGAGTTGACGGATTAAACGGAATAGTCCGTTGCTTTCTGTCATCGCCATGTATGTAGTCCGGCTGGGAAGTGGAGTGTGCAGGAATCAGATCCGTCTCCCGAAAAAACGGTACGTCATGGTTGCGAATCGGTGTTTCATACTTGAATAAGTATTTTCTTTTACCGAATTCCGTGACGGAATTCGCATACACGTTGAAGATGTCTTTGTTATATAAGTAATAATATTCCAGATGGCCATGTATGATCCCGTTGATTGGAGCACCACATACATGAAATAGGAGAACATTTACGGTTTGCGAACCGGGAGGTGCTGCTCCAAATCGCTCGTAGCCTGTTTTCGGACGTAGAGAAACAAACGCCCCATTGCCACGCACATGCGTGCACACGAACGTACAGACACGCACGTGAATGCACACACACACACACACACACGCACACGCACACACGCACACGCACACGCACACGCACACACGCACACGCACACATGCACACACACACACACACACACGCACACACACATGCACCCACACACACCCACACACACACACGCACACACACATGCACACACGCACACACACATGCACACACGCACACACACACATGCACACACACACACCTTAGACCTTAGATATGCCCATCGCGGGAGCAATGATAGCGAACAGCTATGTTAGACAGTCATAACAACTTGTGCTGGGATTACACCATTCAACAGCTTGCAAGGCTGATGAATTGACCGCCACTATTTTTAGCCTGGTATCCACCACACAGCTGTTGAAGTGACTTTTTCTGGCCAGTGAATCCCTATTTTTCATTTTTCCATTTTTTTCTTTTTTCACACACACACACACCATTGGACCATTGGACCATTGGACGCCCATCGCCGGAGGCGATGATAGCGATGCTACAGCAGAAGCCATAGCAGCTTGTGCTGGGATTGCACCATTCAACAGCTTGCAAGGCTGAAGAATTGACCACCACTATTTAGCCTGGTCTACACCACACAGCTATGAAGTGGCTTTTCTGGCCAGTGAATCCCTACTTTTTGGTCTTCTTAATTTTTTTCACGCACACACATCACACCACATACTCCGGCATGCACTGGCTGTTGGTAACCACCCAGGAGAATGAAAGAAAAGTCAGGAGGAGTCTGAGAAAGAGAAGAAAGACGTGTGTGACCATAATCGTCCTGAATCGAACCCGCAACCTATCGATTGGAAATCGCTGCACATACCACTGCACCATATGGGACACACCATATGGGACACACGCACGCACGCCCGCACGCCCGCCCGCCCTCCGTGCTGCTGCGTGCCCAAGTCAAGTGGTCACCGCGCCAGCAAGCGACAACTTTCACACCAAGGTTGAACTCGAGTTCAACTCGAGTGACAGGAGTGCACCCAAAAAAGGTCAAAACAGGCTGTAATAAGTTGTACCCTGCAAGCACTAGGCTAGGCATGGTGACCAGGTGACTGGTGTGCGCAGGAACACGTGACCGCTTGTTCAACCATGTTCGAGGAGGAAGGTAGCGTCTCAGCTTCCTCGGACCAAGACCATTCGACTCAGCACCCCGAGGACTACAACTGGAGGGTTAGGCTCAACTTCCCCTTTAACTGCCGGCATATGTCTACAATGAAGGCTAACGTATTTTCGCTCATTGGCGGGAACTTTTGATTGGGGGAAGTTCAATAACCGGTTATAACCGGTTATCCGACCGTTACTTTAGAGGATACCCGGTCATGCAAAAAGTTGTGACCGTTTAAGCCCTAGTTGTGGGTACATGTTTGGATAATTAGAATGTCCGGATAACTTGACGTTTTTTTCCCTGGCATTTTGGGGTGTTGTGTGGTTCGTGTTAGTAATCAGGTTGTGTTTACATGAGGCGTTTCATTCC